CCTCCATCCGTCCGCTGCCCCTGGCGGACCCCCGGGCAGCGCCGGCTCCTTGTCGGCGGCTGCCCTTTCTCCGTCCGCGGCCGCCCGCTTTGTGGCGGCAGCGGACGTCTCGACTGACAGTGGTCAGTCGGGCTGCCTCCGGGTATCGCGTCTAAGGGATGTTATTCCTCCTGCATGCTCCTGCTGCTTGTTTCCTGATTGCTTGACCCTTAGGCTGCTTGTCTGCGCGGCTTCTCGCTTGGGCTGGCGCTGCCGCGTCTGGGTGCCAGCAGTGCTGGATCTTTTCGGGCTTGTGTTTTGTGTGTGATTGTGCAGCTTCTCGCTGTGGACTGTGTGCCTGCCGGTTCAGCTTGTTCCTGCTTTGTTTTGCTTGAGGCACTTTTTATCTTCTGCCAGTAAATCCTAGAGGCATCAACACCCTGATCTCTCGCAGCTGAAGAAGAGCCTTAAGCACCGTCTCAAGACTCAACTTCTTCACTTCGAGGTCGTCACTGGCGGGATTACACTTGGCGGCCTGCCTATCGGCACGGATGGATTTCATGCTAGTCAGCTCCGAGCGAAGGTTTCTACCCTCAACGAAGAGCTCTCGAAGCTCGGGCTCGTCCAGCATGGCTTCATGTTCAAGACGCTGGTGAGGGCGAGCCATCTTCAGAAGCTCCGCTTCTTCTTCCAGGGGTCATCTCCGTTTCCAGTCACAGATTCGTCTCTTTGACCTCTCTGTCCACCTGGCGCTTGAGAAATACCACGGCAGTGTCCGACGGAATGTGATGGATGTCAGCGCGAGCTCGACCCCTCCGTTGCTGCACATCATCTCCAGACCTGCAAACGCCGATCCTCCAAGCTTCCCACGGCGCATGACAACCTTACTCGTACGATTCGGTCGATGCTGAACGAAGCTGGTCTTCAGAGTGTCATCGATACAGTGGGGGATCCTCGTTCTCGACGGCAGGTACCCTCCCATCCTCATGGCCGCAAGATGAAGGGCGATATCCACATCCCTGGAATCCGCGATCGAGGGTCTGAGCAGTACGAGGGCTTGATGGCGGACGTGACGTTGGTCCACCCTTACATTGGTAGCTCTGCCGACCTGACCAAGTGGGGGGAGGTCAACCTCGACGCCCTCCATGTTGCAGCGTCTGAGAAGATTCGCAAACATCGCGCTGCATATGCTATGACTACTCCTCCTCGAGCGTTCATCCCTCTTGCCATCTCGACGGACGGTACCCTGCATCCTGACACCCTCCGCTTCATCTGGTATCTCGCGGACATCATTGCTCAGCGCTCGATGCCTCTTGAGGATGCGGCTCGGCGTTTGGTCGGCACTTCGTGCCTGATGACGGCCCTGCTGCTGAGGTCCTGGCTCGCAAACGCGCCGCCACCTATCAGCGCCTCACTATGCAGCTGACGCTGGAGGCGCTCTTGTCTGGTGCGAGGCGCATGACGCCCTTGCGGGCGCAAGCACTTCTCGAGCCAGAGGACAGCTCCTCCTCGGACTTTGTCGAGTCGCCCGAGGAGGAGTCTTCGCCGGAGGTCTCCGACTCCGATGGGGGAAACACGTCGAGTGGCGCCGACGATCGGCGCGGAGCTGGCGACTCGGAGGCGTCTCCGTCCCTCACTGTGACGTCGGGTGCCTCCGGAGAGCTCGACACCCCTGGGGTGCTTGCTGCTGGTCCGAGCTCGCCTGCTTCCTCCCCGGCATCGGTCGGGTCACGCCGGTCCTTGGGCATTGCCGCGGCGTCGCCGCCGTCACGGGCGGCTACCACTGACTCGGCTACCGCTGACTCGGAGGCTAGCGAGGAGGACTACCTCGAGCGGTACCGTGTTCCTGTGTCCAGCCTCCCTCCGTCCGCTGCCCCAGGCGGACCCCCGGGCAGCGCCGGCTCCTTGTCGGCGGCTGCCCTTTCTCCGTCCGCGGCCGCCCGCTTTGTGGCGGCAGCGGACGTCTCGACTGACAGTGGTCAGTCGGCTGCCTCCGGGTATCGCGTGTAAGGGATTTTATTCCTCCTGCATGCTCCTGCTGCTTGTTGCTTGATTGCCTGACCCTTAGGCTGCTCCTGCTGCTTGTTGCTTGATTGCTTGACCCTTCGGCTGCTTGTCTGCGCGGCTTCGCGCTTGGGCTGGCGCTGCCGCGTCTGGGTGCCAGCAGTGCTGGTTCTTTTCGGGCTTGTGTTTTGTGTGTGATTGTGCAGCTTCTCGCTGTGGACTGTGTGCCTGCCGGTTCAGCTTGTTCCTGCTTTGTTTTGCTTGAGGCACTTTTTACCCTCTGCCAGTAAATCCTATAAGGCTGCTTGTCTGCGCGGCTTCGCGCTTGGGCTGGCGCTGCCGCGTCCGACGGTCTGGGTGCCAGCAGTGCTGGATCTTTTCGGGCTTGTGTTTTGTGTGTGATTGTGCCGCTTCTCGCTGTGGACTGTGTGCCTGCCGGTTCAGCTTGTTCCTGCTTTGTTTTGCTTGAGGCACTTTTTACCTTCTGCCAGTAAATCCTATACATCGTACTTGTCGGTCCACTCGAGGATGCCGTTGCAGCTACGTCCGCTATGAAGAAGTACATGTTGGCTGATCTGAAGCTAGAGATTCAACCTCGCGAGTCGAAAGTTTACATCCCCTCCTGGCATCAACACCCTGATCTCTCGCAGCTGAAGAAGAGCCTTAAGCACCGTCTCAAGACTCAACTTCTTCACTTCGAGGTCGTCACTGGCGGGATTACACTTGGCGGCCTGCCTATCGGCACGGATGGATTTCATGCTAGTCAGCTCCGAGCGAAGGTTTCTACCCTCAACGAAGAGCTCTCGAAGCTCGGGCTCGTCCAGCATGGCTTCATGTTCAAGACGCTGGTGAGGGCGAGCCATCTTCAGAAGCTCCGCTTCTTCTTCCAGGGGTCATCTCCGTTTCTCCCGTGGGTCCAGTCACAGATTCGTCTCTTTGACCTCTCTGTCCACCTGGCGCTTGAGAAATACCACGGCAGTGTCCGACGGAATGTGATGGATGTCAGCGCGAGCTCGACCCCTCCGTTGCTGCACATCATCTCCAGACCTGCAAACGCCGATCCTCCAAGCTTCCCACGGCGCATGACAACCTTACTCGTACGATTCGGTCGATGCTGAACGAAGCTGGTCTTCAGAGTGTCATCGATACAGTATAGGATTTACTGGCAGAAGGTAAAAAGTGAAAACAGTGGGGGATCCTCGTTCTCGACGGCAGGTACCCTCCCATCCTCATGGCCGCAAGATGAAGGGCGATATCCACATCCCTGGAATCCGCGATCGAGGGTCCGAGCAGTACGAGGGCTTGATGGCGGACGTGACGTTGGTCCACCCTTACATTGGTAGCTCTGCCGACCTGACCAAGTGGGGGGAGGTCAACCTCGACGCCCTCCATGTTGCAGCGTCTGAGAAGATTCGCAAACATCGCGCTGCATATGCTATGACTACTCCTCCTCGAGCGTTCATCCCTCTTGCCATCTCGACGGACGGTACCCTGCATCCTGACACCCTCCGCTTCATCTGGTATCTCGCGGACATCATTGCTCAGCGCTCGATGCCTCTTGAGGATGCGGCTCGGCGTTTGGTCGGCACTTCGTGCCTGATGACGGCCCTGCTGCTGAGGTCCTGGCTCGCAAACGCGCCGCCACCTATCAGCGCCTCACTATGCAGCTGACGCTGGAGGCGCTCTTGTCTGGTGCGAGGCGCATGACGCCCTTGCGGGCGCAAGCACTTCTCGAGCCAGAGGACAGCTCCTCCTCGGACTTTGTCGAGTCGCCCGAGGAGGAGTCTTCGCCGGAGGTCTCCGACTCCGATGGGGGAAACACGTCGAGTGGCGCCGACGATCGGCGCGGAGCTGGCGACTCGGAGGCGTCTCCGTCCCTCACTGTGACGTCGGGTGCCTCCGGAGAGCTCGACACCCCTGGGGTGCTTGCTGCTGGTCCGAGCTCGCCTGCTTCCTCCCCGGCATCGGTCGGGTCACGCCGGTCCTTGGGCATTGCCGCGGCGTCGCCGCCGTCACGGGCGGCTACCACTGACTCGGCTACCGCTGACTCGGAGGCTAGCGAGGAGGACTACCTCGAGCGGTACCGTGTTCCTGTGTCCAGCCTCCCTCCGTCCGCTGCCCCAGGCGGACCCCCGGGCAGCGCCGGCTCCTTGTCGGCGGCTGCCCTTTCTCCGTCCGCGGCCGCCCGCTTTGTGGCGGCAGCGGACGTCTCGACTGACAGTGGTCAGTCGGCTGCCTCCGGGTATCGCGTCTAAGGGATGTTATTCCTCCTGCATGCTCCTGCTGCCTGTTGCTTGATTGCCTGACCCTTAGGCTGCTTGTCTGCGCGGCTTCGCGCATGGGCTTCGGCTGCTTGTCTGCGCGGCTTCGCGCTTGGGCTGGCGCTGCCGCGTCTGGGTGCCAGCAGTGCTGGATCTTTTCGGGCTTGTGTTTTGTGTGTGATTGTGCAGCTTCTCGCTGTGGACTGTGTGCCTGGAGGTTTAGCTTGTTCCTGCTTTGTTTTGCTTGAGGCACTTTTTACCTTCTGCCAGTAAATCCTATGCTATCACCACCGCTGGCCTTCCTCGCAGTACCTCGCCGCGCATCCCGACCTGCTAGA